TTATACAACCTTTAATTTTTATTATTTAGAATTTTAAAATATTTTATATCTTACAAATAATACCCCAAATTTATAAATAATAAAAATCGAATTTAGTATCTTATAAATAATATACAAAAATTACATATAATTAATAAAAGTAGCATATATACGGAGTATTGATTTACCTCTCAATAATATAACATATCATCCCTCAATATTAAACAACATTAAGTTCATCTTAAAATAACTTTTTTTTAAAAAAAATTGATAAAGAGGAAAATCATATAGTAATTCAAATAAATAAAGTTGGTATATTCTTATCTTTAATTTATTCATTTGGTTTGTAGCTTAGTGGCAATGATTTTTTTTTTGTTAATTTTTTTTAAAGGTCATGTATTGATAAATACAGTTGGTATACTCACCTTGTTCCTCCTCTTTTCGCCTCTGTAATTTTATGATTTTACACTTACACTATAACGAAGGTTATGTTCTGATTTACTGAACTGAGCTGAACTAAACTGTTTATGAGATAAGAAAATTATATGTGTTTTCCTTCGTCTTTACTATTGTCTCATTATTATTTTGTGGTACTTTTTTGTCTTAAACATCACAAAAATAATAATGAGACAATAGTAAAGACGAAGGAAGACACATATAATTTTATCAAGAACACTATAGGTCAATATTTATAATTAAATTGGGTCCAAAAAATCTAACTTCAAAAAGATGGAATCCTAATTTTTTGACAAATTATTCTAGTATTATAATTTGAATTTAAAAGCAAATATACCCACGATTGAAGCCATATAGTACATTAGTAGCGCTGTCTTAGGGGCTATGCTCCAAAATTGTTTTCTAGCCATATCCTCGTGATACTTTACCATGTTTGTTTGCTAAGTAAAGTGTCCCCCCATTTACATTTCTACGTACAACACGAGAACTTTTACTCCTTATGGTAACAAAATGACAATGGATTGACTATGATCACCATTGCTACACTACAACATATGATGCCACCTCTAGATTTTAATAGCGGTCGAGTAGTCCATATAAGTAATTACGCTTGCACTTGACTGTCGAAAATTTATCCAAAACAACATTCGTGAATCGAATTTTGTGACATTTAATATCATAGTTACATAGATTATTTATGTATATATAGGGCGTGTTCGGCGCTAATTTTTGAGTAGCTTTTAGGTAGCTTTTAGTGGTGGAGGTAGTTTTTATTAAAAATTAGGATTATTAGCTTTTGAAGTTAGAGGTTGCTTTTGAGGTAGCTTTTGAAAATTTAATGTATAGTTTTAAAAATAAAATATTGATTCTTAAATGTAACAGCTACTCAACCACTACTTTACCGAACACTCATACCTAAATTATTTATTTTCACAGCTAACAACTTGTTGACAGCTAACAGCTACATACACAGCTACAGCTACCTTCACAGTTATATTTTGCCGAACATGCCCATAGAGTATATTTTATTTAATTTTGGTTTTTATATCGGATTCTTGTAGCAATAAGCTAGTAGATTGTAGAATAGTCAAATGAATTATTTTTTACATCATGTTAGATCACCAGGCCAACTAGTCTAGATCACTTTGCATATCAGTTATATTTATAGATTATATTAGAATTTCGAATATAATGATACCAAAACAATATACGGATTACTCAATAATTCATATTTGGCTATATACTAAAATTATAAAACTTTTGGCAAAAATTGGCGTAGCTTTGAAAGCATTCTTCCCCCATCCACAAAACCAAAAAGAAGAAATCAGAATAACAGCAGATAATGGTCTAGTTCATGATCTAAATAATGCCCCACCATCACAAATTTGAGATATTTTTGTGATATAAAATTAAATTATTTGTGACCATACCTTAAAAATAGTAGGACATACCCTCCAAAAATAAAATGCATAATTTATTCATGGGCATATATAATTGGTTTTTTGACAGAGAATTTGATAATTGTTAAAGGTAGGCAAAATAATTTAATGCCACTTTCTATAAATTAGTAGAATTTTGAGTTAAAAATTGAAATAACCCATAACTACTTTTTTTTTTTTTTTTTTTTTTTTGTTTTTTGGTGTTCCACACGGTTCATCATAATCCGGATTCGGGGATTAGTTCTGGGTGGTTAGGTTCCACTCCCTTCCCAATTGTTGTTATGAGAATCGAACACGAGTCCTCCCTACTAAGTGTAGTCCCAATCACCTACACTAACATCCAATTGGTACCCATAACTACTACGGATATACTCAAGGCCGTCAGCCTCCAAGTTCATTCAATCAAAAAATTTATGGGTCAACAAACTAATTAAACTAAAGGGACAATATGTATGTTACATGTTTCTTCATTCCAAGTTATTATCTGACATACCAAATTAATAATAAACAGATGGAAGTACGATCTATCTTACTATCTAGATAGGGTTCTTGTAAAATCATGGGTTTTGACTAGTATGTGCATTCATATTGCTAGAATTTCTTGTTCGGTGGAAATTAAATACTCAAAGTATTACGTATAATGCATTGGAAAGACTGAAAGATTTTTTTTAACTTCATTGTCAAGAATAATAATGTGAACGAACTTGACTATAAACTAATATGCATGGAGTACATCTATAAGAAGATTGAGTACACAAAATGGTTAGACATTTTCTTTATATGGTGTAAAGAACATGTACAAATGTTGAAATGTACATATTATAAGTTCATGGTAGCTTAGGGTATATCATAATGTGGTAGTAATTATGTAGTATGAGTAGAATTGATAATCACTAAATGTTTTTGATAAGATTATTAAGATATGATCATTATTATGTCTAAAAATAATTTTTTAAAAAATCCAATAAAAAGTATAATTAATCTTATAATATTTCAAACCGAATACCTCTTTGTGGGTGAATCAAATGACATTATTTTGAAACGATAAAGTTCAAAGATTTTCTTCGAATTTAATGGCAAAAATATCTTACTCCTTCAGAAATAAATGCTTAATGTATTCCTTTTTTTTTTTTTTTTTTTAAATTGATTTCACTTGATAAATAATTTTTACAAAGGAGTATTTCTTTAATAAAATCAAATAGAGTGAGTACAACAATAAAATCAGCATACATTAATGTGAAATTGCTCAAAAAATCAAACTTCGATATGATAAAGTTGGAGAACAGATAATTAACAATTAAGTATACTAAATGAAAATAAACACTAATGTGAGATTGGCTTCGTTTGCAACCACTTTGAAATTCCAACCACTACCATGGACTTATGAAGAACTACAACTACTAATTTAAGGGGAATAAAATTCATCACCATTTTTCTTTAAAAAAAAAAAAACCATCACCATTTTTCTCTCATCCTCATTTTAAATATCACAAAATGTTGAATTACCTAGTAGACGTTCTACAAACATGTTTTTCCTAAAACCAAAGTAATATATTTTTCTCAAAAACTAAAAAGACAAATTTAAATATTAGCTTAGGCATATATTCAACCTAGTTGGATTGCAATAGTATTTTTTTAACATGTATATTTTTCATCTAGTGACGTAGGTTTATTTTTACCAACTAATGTACTTAATTTAAATATAGTTGAATTTATCCCTTATGAACTCATTGTAGTCGTAGATTGAATTGAATTTAGTGATATATATACACTCTATGATTATGTTGATCCTATTTTTACTCATAAAAAATGTTGAGCCGATTTTATTTAAGCTTATTAATCTTTATCTAAAATCATATTTGTTATCTTAATCTTACTTAGTTCTTGAAAAAAATAATTCAAATAAGGGTTAGGTTTACCATAGATCATCTCAAATTAATGGAAATTAGGCGAATAAAATACATTCTATGGGTGTGTTCACTTTCTATGATTTTAATAATATGAATTTACATGAACTTATCTTAGTTGTATAAACTAGGATAACTCTTATGGTACCTTATTTTTCTGAACTTTTTTATTTTATTTTTTTTTGAGGGAAATTTTTCTGAACTTATTTGGCTTAAAATTATTATTAATTTTATTAATAAATGGAAATTAGGTGGGCAAAACTAGACTGATATGATAATATAAGGGATAATATGTTTAACTAAGATAAGGGTCGAATTTGTTAAAAAAAATAAAATAAAAGAGTTGATAGGCTAGGAAAGTAAAAGTTAGTAAGGTTCAAATATTCAATAAATCCATAAGATAACATAAGGGATAATAAGTTCAAATAGAATTAAAGTTGATAAGTTTGATGATAAGGGTTAACACGACATAACTTTTTATACACACGGGTGCACATACACTTACGTGCACGGTGCAACCAAATGTGTATGAAAATTTTCAATAACACGATCCATGTTTAATAAGGTCCAATAATATACGATAATACTCCATATAATATACGATATATGTTAATACGGAGTACTGTATAAGATAACTAGATAAGGGTTGATAAGTTCAGATGTTTAGATAAGTTCATGCATATGCATATCATATTCTATACGCAAGTAATGGTACTACTGGTAACCAATAATTTTTCCATACGCAAATAATGATAACTATCAATTAATTTTCACAGTAAAATATGCTGGATAGTGGACTAGTAGTAACCATCTGTAATTAACTAGTAATTCCCTTTAAAATTGGGATTAGAAACTTATAATTTAGGATTAGAAACTTATAATTAAGGATTAGAAACTTCTTTCACATAATTAAGTAGAGAAAGATTACGCCTTCAAAGTTAAGCAAACAACCTTCTTCTTCCATAGTTTGCAGCGCTCTAACGTTCAAAACATTTAATCACCCACTTCTTTAGAACCACTTGCATTTTTATTATTTTTTACCACTTGCATTTCTTTATTTACTCCAAGTTAAAAAATCTCTTTTTTTTTTCTTCACTAATTTCCATTAAAAAAAGCTTCAAACTTTACCTTTTAAAAATATTATTATTAGTTTTATTTATTTATTTTTATTTATTTTTTATTTGCATATATATTATATGAGCTCATATTAAAAATGTGGCAGTGAGTTTGAGAGTATGAACTGTGAAGTGAACACATTGATACACTGTTGCATGGCCTACTTCTCCCACTACCTTCCAATCTACAATTTTTTTTATTAAATTATTTTTCATTTAAATTTCTTTTGATAATTATTTTCAGCCATTTTTATTTTTTACCTCAGATTTTAAGCTCAAATTGAGTACAAGTTAACTTCACAAATACTACTTTCTCTCTCTATCACATTTATAAAATCCAAAATATTTTTGGGTTTTAGAGAGAGAAACAATCCAAGAAAAACCCAGAAAACAGAGAGTTTTAGAGAGAGAAAACAGAGTTATTTGCAGAGAGAATGGAAACAATCTCAGTTTCCAAGCTGATTTTTTTGAGCATTTTTCTGGGTTTTTTCCAGTTGATAAATTCAGCTAGAATTGGTTATGATAATAAGGGTATTACCATTAATGGCCAACGCAAACTCCTCATTTCTGGTTCCATTCATTATCCCAGAAGTACCCCTGATGTAATTTTTACTTACTTTCTCCCTTTTTGCTGAAATTTTGCTGCTTTATTGAATTTGTGCTTTTTTTTTTTTTTAAAAAAAAAATTAATTATTTGTTGCATTTTAAATGGGTATGTTTAATTTCTTGATATTTTGAAATTCATTGTTAACAATGTAGAATATTTTTAACTATATTTTTGAGCTTTTAGATGATGAAATGGGTTTTTGTGATTTGTTAATTTTTAATATATAAAAATAAGTAGTATAGATATTTTGAAATTAATGGTTACATTGTGGAGCTTTAAAAATAATTCTTGAGATTGGAGTTGTGGGAATTTGCTATTTGGTGAAATGGGTATTTTATTGTTGAATTTGAATTACTAGTTGATAATTTTTTAATGGTGTAGTTTGAATTCTAAATAATTTGAAATTAATTTTAACATTTAGGATAATATTTTATTATTTTGTGAGTGCAGATGTGGGAAGATCTTATAAAGAAGGCTAAACATGGAGGACTAGATGTTATTGATACTTATGTATTCTGGAATGGGCATGAACCTTCCCCTGGAAAAGTATTGTTCTTGGATCTATATTCATCTTTATTTTCACTAATCGTAGTCCGGATTTAGTTGTCACGTTAGTAGTTCAAATTACACTATCCGCGTGACAATTAGTTTGGCACGACGTGAGTATGATATTTTAAGAGTATAAGAATCTAATTTGTTGAATATTAATTGGAATTTGCAGTATCATTTTGAAGGGAGATATGATTTAGTAAGGTTCATAAAGATAATTCATAGAGCTGGACTGTATGTTAATCTCCGCATTGGTCCCTATGTTTGTGCTGAATGGAATTTTGGGTAATTATTATTTTTTTTAATTGTTCTAGAATCAATTCTAGACTATATTTTCAATTCTTTATATTTTATAAGTGATAATTAAAAAAATGCTTTCTAATTTTAGTAATAATTTGGTTTGTTTTCGATTTCCTCTTCGATTGGATGCAGTGGATTCCCTGTATGGTTGAAGTATGTTCCTGGAATCAGCTTTAGGACAGACAATGAGCCATTTAAGGTCCTGAATTTTCTTTTGCAATTTTTTTTAATTATTAATTGTACTGTAATCTCAGCAGAATTTTACTGAAAATTGTTATTTTTTTGGGTGTTACTGTTGTGATTATACAGAGAGCAATGCAAGGTTTCACTGAGAAGATTGTTGATATGATGAAAAAAGAGAACTTATTTGCATCTCAGGGTGGTCCTATAATCATGTCTCAGGTCTATTGTCTTATAATTTTCTCCCTTACCATACGCCGCTTTTCAGTTTTGCAGTTTATGGTTTTTGATGTGTTTAAATGAAGTCGCGTGACTAGCACTCACATAATTTGATCATGTTTATTAGATTGAGAATGAATATGGTTCGGAGGAAAAGGAATATGGGGCTGCTGGTAAAGCATATGTAGACTGGGCTGCAAGCATGGCTAATGGATTAAAAACTGGAGTCCCATGGTTGATGTGTAAGCAAGATGATGCCCCGGACCCATTGGTAAGATAAACCTACCTTCAAATTTGTAGTGAAACGTGATTAGATTCACGATTAGGAAGTATAAATGGTAGACCATTTGACTGATATATTTTGTGCTTTCTGGCGATAGATAAACACGTGCAATGGTTTCTACTGTGATTATTTCAAGCCTAATAAACCAAACAAACCCAAGATGTGGACTGAAGCTTGGAGTGGATGGTAATACATTTGCTTTTACAACTTATACCGTTACTATCATTGAATTCCTGTTTGCATTTTGTCATTCTTATTTTGGTGATAACATTCTTTGCTGTCATTTGTAGGTTCACTGAATTTGGAGGTCCAGTTCATGAGCGACCAGTTGAAGATTTGGCATTTGCGGTTGCTCGTTTTATACAAACCGGTGGTTCATACATCAACTATTACATGGTTAGTAACTATGTTATGATCATCCTCTTATTGTTTTACTGATTGATATTAGAAGGTTCATGCCTATCGTATTTTGCTTACTGATGATTGCTGCTACTCACAGTACCATGGTGGAACCAATTTTGGACGAACAGCTGGTGGACCATTCATTACGACTAGTTATGATTATGATGCCCCAATCGATGAATATGGTAAGACTTGAACTTGCATATCTTTGTTTGATGGGTATAGGGTGTCATAGCTCACAAAACTACCTGTAGTAGATACAATATAGGGGGAAAAAGTAAAATAACCTGACAATATGTTACTGTCTTGAAGATTTCATTTGCTGTGATCAAGCAGTCTAAATAGATTTTAGAGTAGCTTACATTCATCATATATCAATGCAGATAAGTTTATAAAACATGGCATTTATATTGAGCTTCTTGAAGCGTTGCATTTGCATAAGAACATATATATTTTTTTGCTCTAGAAAGGTCATGTTCAGCTGGTTATAAAGAGCATTATATTTTGTACCACGTGTGCATTTGGTATGGTTGGAAACGGAATAAAATGGAATCAATGGAATGGAATAAAATCATAGATAGTTTAGTATTACATCGGAATGGAATAAAATCAAACTAGAAAAGGGAGAGGAGTGATTGAGGTTAACAATCTGTGTTACCAGTTACCACTCAGTTGAGGAGTGTAAAAAGTGGGTGGAATCAATTACCCTTGATTAAGGAAAATTGTTGCCATACCCTTCAAGCCAAACAATCTATAATTGAAATACTTACGTGATTTCATTTCCAGTTACTACGTTTAAAGATTTTCATACCCAAACACGCTCAACTTTTTTGTACAGCTTGGAGTTCAATCTGTATGACCATGCAATTTTATTTTCCATAGGAGTAGTTTGAATTCCAAGTCAGCTCTTCAGAGGAGCAGCTTTTTCTTTGAAAACCCTTCTCGTACTTGCACAAGAAAATAACATACTACCTCCGTTTCAAAATATTTGCAACAATTAGACATTTTCTACTAATACTTTATACTAAATCGTTGCAAACGGAGGTAGTAAATCAGATGAAATAGACCTTCTCTTCCACCAAACGGCGCCTAAGAAAACAAAAGGACAATATTCTTGCCATTCTTCTGAAAGCTCTCTTTTTGCTCTTTTTATATTACAAAAGGGTGCTTGGTACCTATCATTGAGTTTAATTATTGGTGGTTATCTAAGACTTTTCCCATTAAATGTAATATTGTTCACAGGTTTGATTAGGCAACCTAAATATGGGCACCTAAAGGATCTACATCGAGCCCTCAAGCTTTCAGAACGAGCATTACTCTCTTCAGAACCTGAAATCACTTCATTGGGAACCTATCATCAGGTCAGTTTCTATTTCTGTAAATTCACTTTTTCTTCGCCTTGTGTTGTTTGGCTGAATAACCTTTTTTTGCAGGCTTTTGTCTTCAAAGGTCAAGGAACTTGTGCTGCTTTTCTATCCAACTTCCATTTCACTTCATCAGCAAGGGTGAAATTCAATAATAAGCACTATGATCTACCTGCTTGGTCTATTAGCATACTCCCTGATTGCAAACACGTAGTCTTCAACACTGCTAAGGTAAGTCATGAGTGTGTTAACTATTCGTATAATTTAACTGTGCCGAAACTCTATATTGAAGAGGTTTCAATTCTTGTCATCTAGGTTGGAGTTCAAACCTCACATACTCAAATGATACCAGCCAATTCTCGGTTGCTCTCGTGGAAGATGTACGATGAAGATCTTTCTTCGTTGGAGGAAAGCCCAACGATGACTGCTCCTGGACTTCTAGAACAGATCAATGTCACCAGAGATAGCAGTGACTATCTTTGGTACATGACCAGGTAAGCTCCCAAAAGTTGCTTTTACTTCTTTGTTTTCCTCCTAGTTCTCGGACAGGAAAAATAGAAAATGAAAAGAATATGACTTACCTACTGCTCCTAACTGTACAAGTGAAGCATGGTTTATGCAACAATTGATTTGTCCCCGTGTAGTCCGATTTATAAAAAATTACCTAAGAATTATCAGAATTCATCAAAAAGTACACTTGCTTTCTGTATGTATGTAATGCATCTTTCTATGGAATGCACTTATGCACTACCAATTTACCATTTGTTATGATTGTCTGAAAGCTGATTTGGCATCTAAGCGTCTTACCTGACCCCTTCTTTCTATTGGTTTCCAAATTCGTCGAAAGGTGCTGCTTCTATAAAATCTTGACATTTTGTTGTTGCTTTACTCCAGTGTCCATGTCAGCCCATCAGATTTGCATGGAGCTCCCAGTCTCATGGTGGATTCAGCAGGGCCTGCACTTCATGTTTTTGTTAATGGAAAGTTTGCAGGTATCTTTTCCTTTAATCTTCAAATAACGATTTCAATTATTTGAGTTGGGAGTGATTATGCCAAGCACGTAAATGTTGTGCGAGGATAAATAAAGACAGGGTTATGGTTAATGAAGCAAAAAATGAAAAAGCTATTATTTTTATTAATAGGGTCAGCTTTTGGGAATAGGGAGGACAGGAGATTAACATTTAAAGGACCTGTCAATCTTCACTCAGGAATGAACAGAATTACTTTGCTAAGTGTGGCAGTTGGTTTACCGGTAAACTTCTGACCGTGATGTTAATGCTCTAAATTTTAGAACCTGATCTCGTTAACATGCTGATAATAAAATCTTTTAACGATTTGTTCATTAAGAATATCGGGACACATTATGAAGCATGGAAGACTGGAGTTCTTGGTCCAGTGGTGTTGAATGGTCTTAGCAGTGGCAAGAAGGATTTAACATGGCAAAAATGGTCATATCAAGTGAGTTCCATACATAATCGACACATTAATTTGTCCGTTGATGAACCTTAAGAACTTCAGTAAACTAGTTATTTTGAATGACAGGTTGGATTGAAGGGAGAGAATATGCAATTATCATCTCCAAATGGAGCTTCGTCTAATGAATGGATTGATGCTTCACTTGCTGCACAGAAAACTCAACCCTTAACTTGGTATAAGGTAAGAACCTGTGTGTTGCATTTTTTTTCTTCCCTTTTTTAGATTATTTTATGACTTTTTAAATTGTAATGAAAAGTAGTCTCCCCCATCCACTGATATATTCGCATTGTAATGTTTTAGGCCAACTTTGATGCACCTGGTGGGGTTGAACCATTGGCTGTAGATATGAAAAGCATGGGTAAAGGTGAAATATGGATCAATGGTAGAAGTATAGGAAGATATTGGACTACTTATGCAAAGGGAGATTGCAAACCTTGCAGTTACGCTGGAACATACCGTCAAGGAAATTGCCAATCTGGCTGCAATAGCCCAACCCAAAGATGGTAATAACTGATTTTATCAGCATTTACTGAAATTTGAATGTAAGGGCATATCAATTTAGACGTGTTATCTGTTGAATTTTAGGTACCATGTTCCAAGGGCTTGGTTAAAGCCAACACAAAATCTGATGGTTGTCTTCGAAGAACTAGGTGGGGATGCATCAAAGATCTCTCTGGTGAAGAGATCAGTGTCACGTGTTTGTGCAGATGCATTTGAACACCATCCAATGGTTCAGAACTGGCGGGTAGATTCCAATGGCGATCAGCAAATAATGCACCGTACGAAGGTTTACTTGCAGTGTGGACCAGGGCAGTCAATATCGTCCATCCAATTTGCAAGTTTTGGCACCCCATTCGGAACTTGTGGAAGTTTCGTCAAGGGAGCATGCCACTCTGAGAGCTCCCACGATATAGTAGAGAAGGTACATCTCTATACTATACCTTACTTCGCTTCACCTTTTCTTCACGTAAAATCTTGTTTAACAATATTTTGTTCCTGGGTGCAGCTTTGTGTTGGTCAAAGAAGATGCTCTATTCCTATATCCAACTCAAATTTCGGGGGAGATCCTTGTCATAACACGTTAAAACGACTAACAGTTGAAGCTATTTGTTCTTAAGCACAACCACCAAAACCAAACCAGTCGAAACTTTCCAGTTTGTAAAGGCTATAGAGCTCTACGACCACGTGTGTTCATATAGAAATTGATAAGGGAGGAGGAAAAAGGAAGGCAAAGATAGATAAATAAAGGTCAAAGACCATCAATGGCATCTTATCCTTATGGAAACGGATACACAATTCAGCAGATTATACAGCAAGGTGTCTGTGTATAGTTGCCATTCCCTCACCTTTTATTAGGGAATGAGATAGAAGCAAAGGACTCGATAATTATATATTCCTAGTATTATTTATGTGTGTTCCAGGAGTAGGTATCTTAGAATTATGGTTGCTTTTCGATTTTTTCTTCTTCATATCTTTGTTTGTGCTCCATCCTTAATCTATGTGTTTTGAACTACTCCGTAGTATTGTTTCTCATTTGAGCCTAATTCAATGAAGTAATTCATTTTTGGCACTGTTTTATGTAAGCTCTAGTGGCCATGAGAGTGATGGGCACATACATACAGATCATCAGCACTTCAGAATGCAAAAAAATGCAGGCATGCAGCAGTCAGTCATATTGACTCTTGTTCATAACTTCATACACTGCAAGTAAGATGACTTGAGTTTGAATTGACAAAATATACCTGTCCGCCCAATTAAGTTGGACGTGTTTTGATTTGAATTTATCGCAAAATAATAGGCCACTTTCTATCAATTCAATTCCTTAATGTTGCAAGTCATGTAACGATAAACACCGTGCCCACACAAGAGGGCGGAGGGCCTAAGGAATACAATGCTTAAAGGGCAATGGTCCATTACTGTGTTTTATTCACAAAGCCTCATTTTGACCATTACAGATAAGAAACCAAATATGAAATTGAACAAGACAGTTTAGATTTTTGTCGCAGTGAAAGGTATAAACCAGAAAATCCATAGCATTGATAACAAACAAGGATCTTTAACATCAAACTGTCCATTCAGTTCATATATTGGTAGTAACCCTACTGTTTGAACAACAGATAAAAAACCCGAACACAGTACAGAGAATGAGAGAAAGATTGTCAAACTATAGGTATAAATCACACAATCAACTCATCTATATAAACACACCCACCACGAAAACACAATATTATGTTATCTTAAAAACCATAAACCCAAAGCTGAATCATACAATAATAAAGTCATAATCCAGGATGTATTAACATGGCAAAGTAAAGAATTCATTGATAACATCATTAGGTGGATGGTGCGGGATCAGCCTCAGGCAAACTTCGACCAGAATGCTTAGTAACGAGTTTCAGAAGAGTCTCTTTATTTGCACCTACGAACCTGTTAACTTCTTTTCCGTCTTTCAGGAAAACAAAAGTTGGCAGGGAGTGGACTTTATAATCCTCAGCAATAGTCTGAAAGCAATTGATTTGCAACACCAAGTAAATGAAGCTGCAATTAGAGTAAACATAGAAGTAGCATTGTGGCAAATTTATGCTTTCAGAATTTCAACTATTTACCTTGAGCTCATCAACATCAACCTTGAAAAACAACACATCTTCATACTTGTTGGCAAATTCAGACAGAATTGGTGCCATGAAACGACACGGTGCACACCATGTTGCAGTGAAATTGATCACAGTCTGCCATAAAATTATTCATTTAGTACCCAAGACTCTTAAACTCGAACAATTGATCATCGTTTTTTATCCTAACTCCCCAACACAAAGACATTAACAATGCCTTCGACAACTCACAACCTCAAACAAACACAAACACATAACTCGAAATCCAACCCAATTGTGGACAACTTCATATACTACCTCCTTACATATTATTTGCAACGATTAGACATTTTTCCTCTCTACTTTATGTTATATCGTTGCAAATAATATGTAACGGAGGAAGTATTAAACCATTTAATCATCTATTCCATCCTAACCAACTAGGAGCAATTGCCCCTAGTTGTGGATTGTTTCGGCTCCAATCCAGATTAATCAGAGTCTAATAGCACTAACTGTCACACTCGACGCTGATTGTCTCACAAAAAAAGTCAAAGTACGATCAATTCAAAAAAAGTCGTATAAACATTTCACCATTCCAATCGCTTTCCTCACATTTTATGAACTAGAAATCGTAAGAATCAATCAAAAATACACAAATACATGCAATTTAAACATCAACATCATCGAAATTCAAACAAAAAGATGACCAATAATCAATCAAATACACCTGATACATGGAGCATAACCTTCAATAATGAATTAAATCCCCTAATTTCTCAAAATCTTCCATTTAATAATACAAAGTTCAAAGAAAAAAATTAATTTGGTAGCAAACTAGAAGTAATAATAAAGAAAAAGTTACCAATTTCTTAGAGTTTCCATCCTCAAGATTCTGCTTAAATTGGTCAAGGGTTTGGCAACTAAGAACTTCCGCCATTGTTATTTCTTGTGTTTTCTTTCTCGCTTTTAGAAGGTTTCGTCGTAAATAAGAAAATGCGAAAATCAATATTCCTTCCGTTAAATGCTAGAAATAGGAATGTAATTTAGGGAAGGAGGGAGTATCACTTTATTTTTTAAAAGGTGGCCGCAGAATTTTTGGTCTGGCCTTTGCTATTTATACTAACTTCGATTTATTTCAGTTGTAACTTTGAAATATTTTATATATCACAAATAATATTCCAAAGTTGCAACTAAAAAAAATCAAAGGTAGTACATTTTTTTTTTGACATGATATTCAATTATTTGTTAATGAGTAACAAATAAATGAATACCATTTGTGAGTAACTTAATTAATTCCATTTGTTTAATCAAAGATTTAGTAAATTATTTGTATTTCCATTCAAATTATACAGCTGGAGAATATTTTAACAATGAAAGATACATAAAGGGATGATTGGATATGTTTTTATAAGAAAAAAAAAAAATTGTGTAAATGGAATAATTGGTGGAAAGCTTATAAGATAAGGAAAGAAGTGTGTCCTTTCAAAAAAATAAGTATGAAGTAAATCTACCTTTATTACCACTTTGGAAAAAATTAGGGGATGAACTTTTATTATGAGATAAAACATAAAATTAATTCAAAATTACTCCGTAGGATTCACCACTTCACCAGGGCATGAATGTATTGGAAAGATATTTCTTACTCCGTACCATATTCATTATTCATTTACATCATTTATACTCGAAGTTATAAAGAACGGACAAATGGGTAAACATAAGGTTTAAATGTCTAATTGCCAAATTAATCCGTTACATCACTTAAATGTCCATACCAATTAAGGATAATAATGGTAGGACTCCAATATGAGTATATTAATTGAATTTAATAAGGAATGAACGCCCCAAGAGCGTTGCATAAGCTAGTTAAAAATAGAAAGATTAAACTAAAATAATTATCCAACGCCCTGGGCGTTCGTTAGCAAGACCCTTTATATAATACATTACAATACAATTATTCCTGCAATGGGATTATCAGCACAATCGTTTCTCTAAAATGTGTGCCTCAAACTAGTGGGCATGAGGAGTCGATGCTTTAAGCCTTTTAACAATCCCTGAAATTCGATTTGGCATAAGTTTTCGGCCTAACAAGTAATCCTCCCTTTCAAACCACACAAAAAGACTAGCAAAGCATGGGTGACAAATCTGACAACTAACAAAATGCTAAATCTTCTTCCTGAGATGAAGCTATTCAACAACCAGTTACTAGGTGGTAAGCCCTCCCCTGTCCCGATAACCCCTACAAAGGGGTTCGGTTTCTCATTACCTGTTACGGGGTATACTATTACTTCGACCTGGAACAGATCACACTAGTAATGCAACAACTAATTCCATGCAAAGAAAGCAATTATAATTGTAAGAAACAGCTGATCAACTCTTAGTTTAGCAATAAGCATACCCATGAGAACACAAGTAATCCCACAAAATACAGTACATAATTCGCTATTCTGTCACTGGTAACAACCATAAACCACAGCTGAATCATACAAGTATTCATAACCCAGGATATGGTAAAACATTAATAATACTTATAATAAATAAGTTTAACACGGTAGAGCAATGAGCACGAGATTAACTTCATTAGGTTGATGCTGATGCGGAAACAGTTGCAGGAACTGCATGCTTCTCTATTTTGGCGAGGAGGGCATCTTTGTCAGCACCCACAACCTTGTCAACTACATTTCCGTCCTTTAGGAAAATAAAGGTCGGCATTGCTTCAACTTCATACTGCTCAGCAACACTCTGCAAGCAATGATTTCCAACACAAAATTCATGACTGCAATTATACAAATACAAAGAAACAAAGTAGCTATGGGGGCACAATTGTGGTTTAAGAGTTTCAGTTACATACCTTCAACTCATCAACATCAATTTTGAGGAACACAACATGTGGGAATTTCTTGGCATACTCAGCCAGAATGGGTGCAATGAAACGGCATGGTGGGCACCATGAAGCAGTGAAATCAATCACAATCTGCCATAAAATTCATCAGCTTACTAATCCAGTAATCCTAACTCGAACCACAAAGAATAAATTATTGTTTTTGACAGCTCAAAACGTCAAACAATCACCCAAAACCATACTTGAAACCCAATTGAGAGTCAACATAACCAACAAGTGTTTTGATCGGCTAATTAGAGATAATACTCTAGCTCAACCGGCACTAGTAAGGACCATATACTGATATACCTTCAATTGGCACACACCACACTCGAAAGTTGAAACCCAATTGGAATTCTATTCTCATAAAACCAGGATATCAATGACCAACAAGAGTTTAGATCAGCTAGTATCCCTCCAATTGGCGTATTTCCTCACTCAAATCCGGATTAGTCGTAGTCTAATGAGATCTGGATTATTGGGGTCTCCTAAAAACATTACAACACCAAATATATCATACTACTTGTGGATTATTAGGGTTTCTTAAAACATTACTCACCCAAAATAGCATACATTCACAGAAAGTCTAATTTGTGCTTCTTGTAATAACTCCCAACTTTCTTCACTTTTACACAAATATCATCCATTCATCATTCCAATTACTTTAACCATAAACAAAATTCTCAATTTATTTTCGTGAATTAGGGTTTGACAGAATTAATTCTAATTCAAATTATCAAATTCATAAACATCAATCAAATTAAATTCCGTAAAAAGAATTAATCTTTGAATTCATTCAATTCAACCCAATTGCACATGTAAATCAAATCAAATCATATACTCCCCAATTCATAATTACATAAATACTTCCCCACGTTACATTATTAAATCACAAATTAATAAAAATTCATATAAATTACATCACTCCATCCCATATAATCATGTAAAACTTAGAAGAAAAAAAAAAAAAAACCCAATTCTTCACCATTTTTTTTTAAAAAATAATGCAATCATATATAAAAAAAAAAAACTAATAAATTCGTCACAAAATCACAAAAAATAATGACAGAAAAATTACCAATTTGTCAGGACTTTTGTTAGAATCAAGCTGCTGCTTCCATTGGTCAACGTTGTGGCATCCAACAACTTCAGCCATTTTAATTTCTTGAATTTCTGTTTTTCTAACTTTTTTGAGACAATGTAAATCGAAGAAGCGATGATTTAGCTTGGGTTGAAAATGGAAAGATTCACCTCTTCAACTGTTTATAAAGGAATATATGTAAAGTTGGGCCGCGTATTTGTTGGGCTGGGCCCATTTTCTTTATTCGCACTATTAACTTTCCTTAACGCGGTGTTTTAATATTTCTTCACGTGAGTAATTTAATTTTACTCCGTACTTCGTACTCCGTATTTGATTTTCTTCTTCTTTTTATTCAAAGGTTTTTGTAAATTTGTTTTATCTTTCCATTTACAAAACAGCTAGAGAATATGCCAATATGGGATATTTGACCTTTGATATTGATAGATAAAGAAAGTGATCAAGTTTATTTTGATATCAATATTATCACTATTTTTATGGGAATTTCCAACGCGGGTTCGTATAGGCTTTCCACAACAAAGTTGTTGCTCTTTTCATCCGGTAGAGAATTTAGGGCCTGTTTACATTTACTGAACTGAAATGATTAGAGCGGAGCTGTACTGAACTAAACTGAACTGATTGGAGCTCCGAGCTTAACCAAACTGAATTGAAATTAAGCTGAAGTGAAAAGACCATTAATTTATTATTTCCGATGTTCTGCTAAAATTTTCTAACACAGTCAATATCAATCTCTGAATCCAAAAACCGGAAATTAAAAAACTCTAACCAACTGAGATATCCATAATCCCTTACTCGCCTAACTAAAAATGTTTTATAAGTTACATGTAAGCCAGGCATGTCGATAAAGAAAAGATAAGCCCACTTCAACTTATAAAAACAATCACCTAAAGTATGTAAGGAAACTGTTTTGGGTCAGCCTTGCCCACCTAGCGTGCCCATTAATTCTCTAATGGGCCAGCCCGTATTTATTTCTAGTCTAATTGAGCATATCAGCCCAGTCGTCCGGGCTCGGGAGTATAGTCCTTTATTTATTTCTCTAATAAATGTAACCCAAAACCCATGAGAGTCTTAATGATGGCTACATTATTCCTAGTCTTATGCTTTTAGTTGACTAATGCCTTAAATCGTCAACATATTCAGAATCACAGTGGGTGTACAAGGAAAACACTACTATTGCCAAGCTTGACACTTTGTAGATCTTTCCTTTATATATTCTCAACACTTAACACGAAATACTTATCCATCTGTAGCGTATATTTTGCTTCCGCTTGAGTAGACAACCCTCATTTGCATCCCCGTGGGAGTTGGAGGTGTTCATTCGATAGACAGAACCCTATATATGTTTTTTTTTTTTTTTTTTTTTTTTTTTTTAATACTTCTAACAACATAACTCGATCTTTGACATGGTATTTACTAGCAAACGGGACACAATAGTGATCCCTCAAGACTAACTACTGTATAATCCACTTCCATATATGAATTAACCCTAGGAACAACAATTCTGTCACAATTAATATGCAGATTCGATTTACATATATCTTGTTGGTTTGAATAAAATGCTACATACACCCCAAAATCCGCCTTAACTTGGTTAGCCAATTCGCCAAGATGATACCGATGTAAGCTAATCTTGGTGTTAATTATAGTCCGTATGTACAACATTGGTGCTAATGTGCTATCCACAGTATAGCAAACACATAACGTGCTCTAAAATTGTCAAAATCGAACTAATAGTACTGCATTTTTATTTCTTATTGCCTAGGTTTATAAGGGTACATATGGCTAAATAAATACTACTTATTCATTACTTGTTTATAGAATTGATGTTTTACCTAAAAATTAATGGTTTTTAACATTTTCTTGGTGCAAACAAAAGAATGATGTATAAGGACTAGAAAACGTATAGGCATAGGAACATCTTAGCACAATCGATTCAATTCATTTGCAAGTTCAATGCATGTAAAATTCTGTATGGCTGCGCGAGTTTTTTTTTTTTTTTTGGAAGGGGGGGGGGGGGGGGTGCAATTGGATTTCAAAGGGCCATATGCTAGTAAAAGACTCAAACTAAGACCTACATCGAGGTTATTATGTA